CATGACGCCATCCCAAATCTTGATTCCCTTTTTTCTCTAAAAACACTTAAGGTAAAGTAAAGTAATAAAACATTACCAACTCTTACCAGCTCTTCCCCAATATAAAAAATGTGTGACCAAAAAGAGTTCTGTCTTTAGAGTTTCTCAACAACTTGGCGCTGTGTCCTCATAGGTCCTCTTCACTGTCCCACAGTTCCTCTTTGCGGAGGAGCCGATATGATTGTCAGGAGTCACTCTCGTTTATGACATGACTGTAGCTTGCCATGGGCTCTTTTAGACGGCATAGCACTGCAAACAGCAGCAGTATCAGGAGGAAGAGAAGACATCCACACACTGCCAGCCCGATGATGACCCCTACACACACACATGAGAGAACCATCAAAATCAAATCTATATTAGTAATATGGTTGGCCATTTTATGTACGTATATTTTGAAAGATATTGAAAATGTTATCTTTTTGCCATATGGAAGTGCTTTAAATTGCAGTATAAATATCACTAAATAACAGTAGCCCCTCACTGCAGAACAAAGATCCAGGGGGCGGGGTTGGATCCAAGGTTATTTTCGTAAACGAAAACTATAACAGACGAAAACGATTGATGAAAAAACAATTTCGTAAACTGAAATAAAATAAAAATGGCAAAATATTTCAAAAACTAAAACGAAACTAACAACAGTTATTGAAAAACTAACTGAAATAATGATAATTATAAAAAATAATCGTTTTAGTAATCATTACGTTCTCACCCCTTGGCGGAAAAATATATTAGCTGTGTGGCAGCTTAGGGAAAAAAACACTGAAAAAAATGTTTCATTAATCTAATTAAAAAAATTTAGGGTAATGATTCACATCTATATTTTTTTACTTTTCCTGTAAATGGCGCATCGCGCACGTGAGGTTATCTGACAGAGAGACGCAAAGCAGTTTAAAGCAGAGTCCTGCACGGGTCCTGTTTGGTAAACGTGCACCAGCAGTACTTAACAGAACACTTGACCCATTATCTGACAGCAGCACTAATTTAATTCTGTACCAGACCCGTTTGACAAAGACCGCGAGTCGCGACCCGAACCGCACCCGCATTAAAGGGGTCATATGATGTTGCTAAAAAGAACATTATTTTGTGTATTTGGTGTAATGAAGAGTGTTTATGCGGTTTAAAGTAAAAAAAAAAAAAAACACATTATTTTCCACCTACTGTACATTATTGTTTCTCCTCTATGCCCCGCCCTTTTGAAAGGTCGATTTTTGCAAAGCTCATCGGTCTGAAAAGCGAGGTGTGCTCTGATTGGCCAGCTATCCAGTGCGTTGTGATTGGCCGAATACCTCAAGCGTGTGATGGAAATGTTACGCCCCTCACCATACTGTTGATGCCGTGTCCGGCCGGAGCGATGAGACAAAAACATTAAAACCTATTATAAACGAGGCATTTGTTGCATCCAATGCCAAATTATGTGATGTTTTACTTTAAAATACATTTTCATATTGTTTTTGTAATCTTTAGTTGTACTTTAAGGTGCACTTATTTGAATGGGCTGACTAACATACAGTACTTTTAATGTGTTGACTAACATACTAAAACACAATTACAATTTCATCATTACAAATGTGCAATTGCAAATATATTTAATAAATGACATACAAGTTCAATAGAAATATATATTAAACCGCATTAAAGTATATTTTAATATGCCATGAATGCTTGTCAGTACATCCGGCAACACACTTTAACCAAAAAATTAAATAAAAAAAGCACTCTTAAGTAATTGCATTTAATGTAAATATAAACTATAATCAATTTTTATTTAAATTACAATTATCATGCAATTAAGTGTCATAAAACATTACATTCGGCATATACTTATGTTCTTTTAAAGCATATTATTTCTATAATTAATAAGTATTATTTTTAAAAGTATACTGTGTTTTTTTCACAATCCCCATATGACCCCATGTATTACAGTGAGTATAGAAACTAATCACCCCCTCCCCCCCTCCTTTAAAATAATCGCATTTTGTTGCTTTGCAGACTGAAATGAAGACTGACACAGTTTTTGTTTTATTCAGCTGTATTTACTCAATGGAATTTATAACATCCAAGGGCCCGTTCTTCATACGTCGCTTATTACATCTGAGATGATTTGAAAGATTCCAGATCTTCTAATCCTGATAACTGATCTCTGGCTAATGTGGTTCTTCAAACGAATTTGCGTATTAGATTAAAATATCTGGATTAAGTTGTCTAGGATTACTGCACGTTCTCGTGTTCCCCGATAAGGGCAGATGTATCGATACTCGAAACCACGATCAGCAATGCAGCGATTGGCTGGCGGCAAGACAGCAACGTAATGACATCTTATAATTAAAAAAGACACCTGACGAAAAACTTGACAAATTTTTTGACTTTTATAAGGAAACAGCCAAGCGAACAAAACTACATAAATGTTATAATAGATAAATGAAATGTGCACTGTTTTTATTTTATTTAAATTTTTTACATGATTCCCAATTATTTATATTCATGATTTCTAATATTTGTACAGGCTTTACATTTTTATTTCAATGTACTAATAAACAATTAATTAAATTTTATATTTGAACAGATTTGTTACGTGACAGCATTAATTAAAGTTTCTTAAGGGTCAAGATCATGTTATCTCCATCAAGCCACTCCCATAATAACTGTCATCACTTAAATTAATGCACGACACTACATTATCTGTATAGCATGTGTGTAAGACTCGAATACAATTATGAAGTAATAATTTTATGACGAATAAATCTTTCAGTGAGTAAAACTGGCTGTGTCTATAGTATTAAAGATTACACAACAGTATTATATTATCTTTAAATACATTTTTAAATGATTATTATTTAAAATTATTGTCCCTGGATTAGTAGGATACTCTTGTAATAAAGTCACGGTGGTGACGGACAGATTTTAAGTATCAATTCTGCTTAAAAAGATGTGATCTAATCCTGTTTACATGAAATAAGCCTGCTCCTGAGCAGGTTTAAGCTTACGGACCTGTTGCTATGACAGCAACTCCGGGATGAGCTTTGAAGAACCAAACAATCCAAGATCATGCCAAATCATCAACAATAAAATCCAGCTAACCGATTTAGCGACGTACGAAGAATGGGCCCCAGGAGAAAGATAAAACAAAAATAAAAAATAAATAAAAATAAAAAAAACAGAATCCCCGAGTTGGAAAAAGGATCACCCCTTTGTGTCAGTATTTTGTTGAACAACCTTTTTCTTTCATTACAACCTTTAGTCTGTTGGGATATGTCTCTGTCTCTACTAACTTTGCACATCTAGATTTTGCTATATTCGCCCACTCTTCTTAGTAGAACTCAATTTCAAGCTCAAGTTCAGTTAAATTTGATGGTGACCGTTTGTGGACTGCAGTCTTCAAGTCATTCCACAGATTTCCAATGGGTTTAAGTCTGGGCTCTGACTAGACCATGGGTCACCAAACTTGGTCCTGGAGGGCCGGTGTTCTACAGAGTTTAGATCCAACTTTCCTCAACACACCTGCCTGGAAGTTTCAAGTATACCTAGTGAGACCTTGATTAGCTGATTCAGGTGTGTTTAATTAGGGTTGGAGCTAAACTCTGCAGGACACCGGCCCTCCAGGACTGAGTCTGGTGACCCGTGGACTAGACCATACAAGGACATACACCTTTTTCTCCTTCAACCACTGTGTGCTCAGTTTTGCTGTGTGCTTTGGGTCACACAGCAAAACCTTCCCATTGACAACTTTCTGTCAGAGGGCAGCAGATTTTCCTCAAGAATTTAATGGCATTTTGCCCCATCCAATTTTCCTTCTATCCTGACAAGTGCTCCAGTCCCTGCTGCAGAGAAACAGCCCATAACAGGACATCACCACCTCCATGCTTTACTGTAGGAGTGGGGTTATTTGGATAGTGAGCTGTATTGGATTTTCGCCAGACATATCGTTTGTTGTTGAGGCCAAATAATTCAGTTTTAATCTCATCTGCCTCAGAATCTTCAAGGTGCGTTTTGGCAAAGCTCAGTTGTCACTGCATGTGGCCTTTCTTGAGGAGTGGCTTTTTTCTTGCACCCCTCCCATACAAGCCACATTTGTGCAGTAGCCCCTCGACTGCAGTACACAAGATCGTCATTACATCCACATCCAGGGGGTAGAGATGGGTGAGTTTAGGGATCGGGGGTGGAGACGGGTAGTTTTAGGGGTGGAGATGGGTGGGTTTCGGGGATCAGGGGGTGGAGATGGGTGGGTTTAGGGATCAGGCAGTGGAGATGGGTAGGTTTAGGTAAGGTGGGAGGAGTTGGATGTGGATCCAACCTTGCCCCCTGGATCTTGTGTTCTGCAGTGAGGACCATCTCCTAAATAAATAATTATAATTTGTAGAGTTTATTTGCAAAAACTGACAACTCAAAAATTTTCAAAAATCATGTTTTTATTAACTGCGGTTTGATTGAGATTAATTGGAATGCACAATGAAAAAACATGATTTTTGAAAATGGTTAAAAACGGAGTTATCTGTTTTTGCAAATTAACTCTTAATTTACAGTTTATGTGTGCATGAAAAAAGTGGTTACAATATGTAAGCAATAAACAGCATTTATTAATGTAAATGATTGAGATTACCAGTGTCTGTGGCCTCCTCCTTTATCTGACACTCTTTATTCCTGTCTTGTGGTATGACTTCACGTGTGAGGTTCACAAAGTCCTGAAGGGGGCAGCGCTGGGAACAGCCCGGTAAAGACACAGAGTACGGCTCAGACACATTAGTGTCGTTGCGATAAAACATATCCACTGAAAACGTCCTGAAAGAGCAAAGCAAAGGTATATTTTAGTTGACAAAAGAATGTCTACTAGAAACATTTAGGAAAAACACAGTCGATATGTTACCCATTCTCTTCCTGGTGAAGTTCAAATAGATGACATGAGGCATAAGGTGGCTGCAGGCCATTAAAGACATTCAGAGCTTCCTGTAGGGCTACAATTGTTGTGTCATGCTAGTGAGGAAAGAGTTACATGACACAACATCACATTAACTGCTTACCCTAAAGAGGACAAATGTTTTTTTTTTTGGTATGCTATTGACTGAAAAAACAGGAAGTTTGGGTGTTTTGGTCTGCTGATGTGACACATGACTTACCGCTGAGTATACCATCATCTTCACTTTCTGTTTAGAGTCCAGTGCTGCTGCATTTGAGAGATTCTTAATGATCTGATCTAACAGCAGGCCTGTAAATGAGAACGTAAGAGCTGTTTTAGAACATTAAAGTGTGACAGGACCACAGTACTGCACTTGTGTATTCAGGTCTGAATATAAAGCGGTCCATCCACTGTTTCTTTACATTGACATTTCCCTGCAACTGCACAACGTTTGAGGAAGCAGCCTCTCCCTCTATTCCTACAACGCTGATTTGCATATGTGTGCATAAAAGTGTCAGAGTGTGTAACTATGAAAAT